TTCCTAAGATTTTCCAACTTTCACATTCCAATCATCATTAGTATCAATTCATCTTAATTGCATGTTTGATCAATTTCAGACTGAAGAAGTTGGTAGAATTCTTCAATTTCTTCATCATTGGCTTTTGTGATTGGTGATTAAATTTGAGCCATGGTTGTAATAACTGGTTTTCTTTGTAGATGTCACAGCATTGAATTTCCAAGATAGATTTTGAATTTTTTTTAATGATAAATACGATGCGAATTATGATTCCTCTTCTGTCATTCCCAGAATAGTAAACCACATGATTGACTAATGTTGTTATTAAAGTGCCATCGAGTCGGTTCTGACTCATAGTGACCCTGTTTAGGCTTTCTGAGGAGCGGCTGGTGAGCTTGAGCCACCGACTTGGTGGTTCAAAACAACCTTGCAGTCCTGTGCATTACCAGAGGCTAATACCAGTCCATTCCAGCTTAGTAATGCTTAGGATATTGATCTATTTGCATAATAATTCATTTTTGACAATTCACAATTTTCCTAAATTCCTAATTAGCACATTTGGGCTAATGCGTCAGACTGCAAAGTCATTTGAACTGCAAGGTTGGTGGTTCAAGCTCACCAGCTGCACCTTGGAAACCCTATACAGGGTCGCTATGGGTCGGAATCGACTCAATAGCACTTAACAACAACACATCCATGTTGTGTTTTATTGATGGATGTTTGCAGCTATTTCTACTCATTTTAAGTCATGGCCCATCAGCAAATGAAGATCCCAAAAGCTTTGCCTCATTCGTGCCATTATGGTCAACTCTAATTTTAAGAGACAGCTCTTCCTCAGTTGTATTTTCAGTGCCTTCCTTCCTGAAGTGCTCCTCTTCCTGTACTCTATCAGTCAGTTTTCCATTACTGTTCATGAGATATCTGGGGCTGATCCCTCGGAAGTGGACCACCTATTCCTTCGTCCTTGTCTGTTCTTAGTCTAGAAGCTCTGCAGATACCTGTCTACCATGGGTGATCTTGCTGGTATTTGAAACTGAAGTGGCATAATTCCCAGCATCACAACCACAGTAAGACAAACTGACAGACATGCGGGATTTCTGTTCCTAGTATGAAGTAAAAGGATTAAGGTTGTGGTTGCCAAATTTGGTAAATTGTCAAAATCACCTTGGGGTTTGTGAAATAGGATTTAAGGAGGGAGATTGGTAAGAATGATGAGTTATTTTGACACTAAAGATACCTATTCGACTTCAAAATAGTCTGTGGGGTATACAGATCTGAACTTTTAGAGGTTCATGCTAGGTACAGATTTTGAAATTTTGGGCACAAAGATCTTACAAGAAGCCTTCTATAAGTGTGGATTAAATAGCTGAGTGAGAATGCTAGAGGGAGCCTAGAACAGAATCCTGGTACAGTGATATTTAAGGGATGGATGATAAAGAGAAGCAAAGAAAGAAGACTGAGTAGGGGTAACTAGAAGTGGTAAGAAGAAAATCAGGACAGTTGAGAGGAGTTCCAAAGGGAAGGATCAAAGATGTCAAAGGTACAGAGACCTCTTCCTGCTTTATTAGTATGTCCCTGTAAGACAACGGAGTTCTGGTGTGGCGCTGTAGGATAAGCACTGGACCTCAAGATTGGTGGTTCAAACTCATCAGCTACTTACCCTATACTGGGTTGTTATGAGTCAGAACGGGCTCGAGGGCCCTTAAAAACAACACCAAGTAAAAAGTAATTGAAATTCTAAACTTCAATAACTTTCAAAATCCCTTTTCAAATATGTAGAATCAAAATTCCTGGGATGGAGCTTGTGAATCTGTGTTTTTAAAATAGCTTACCAGGTGATTCTGATACACATTTGGGTTTGGGAACTCTTAACTGTAACTACTTGCTTAATCAAAGAACAGAGAAATTAAATCAAAACAGTGGAAAGCAACCTAAAAAATAAATAAGTCCAAGGTCAGAGTAATTTTGATGGTGTGTTAAAATCCCATATTAGAAGGAGAAAAGGCAATTCCCTAAGTCCCCACAGTTAAGTACTGTAGTGACACTCTAAGGACCAAAACATTAAAGTAAATCAGCATAAGGCTGCTTATAAAGCAGAGGTCAAATAACAAGGCTTTCCTACTTCTCCATCAGTCACTCTCTCTCTGTTGGGGTCCTGTTTTTACTTGTGACTATTCACTTTAATAGTCACACAGAACTCACAAGAAATCAGTTTATACTTATTCACAATTAATGTAGTTTATCAGGGCAACAGTCCCTCTGCCATTGAGTAGAATCCGATTCATAAGACATAGCAGAACTGACCCAGAAGGTTTGAACTGTCAACCTTGCAGTTATTAGCCCAAAGAATAACCCACTATGCCAACAATACAAAATGTGGGGTGAAACTCAAGGTAAACGTCAGGATAGAATCCAGGGGAAGATATAAGGACAAAGTCTGGGGAGGCCCCAGAAGAAACAAATGTGCTTCCTTTCATCAAGCAGGGAGCCTCAGACAAGCTTCCCACAGGAACAGGTTTTTCTCAGGGTGATGCTTGGGCAGCTCTCCTCTAGATCAGAACAG